GAGCGCGGTCCGCGCCACAACTGCTGCCCCCCTCCATTTTCTAAGTTCCGGGGTGTCCGTACTTGCTCAAAACTCACCCGAAACATGCCCGAGGCCCCCGGGACCTCAACCAAAAGCATCAATGCATCCTAAACATTATTCAATCTCGTTCCAATCATCAAAACACCTCGACTAACACCAAAAATCCTCAAATCACATCGAATTCAAGCCTATGAATCTCAAGAACTTTAAAATTCCATTTTTGATCAAAAACCCAACCAAACCACGTCCGAATGACCTCAAATTTTGCAGACAAGTCCAAAATGACATAACGAAGTTACAGAAACTCTCGGAATTCCATTCCGACCCTCGGATCAAAATCTCACCTATCAACCGGAATTCGCCAAAATACGAACTTCCGCCAATTCAAGCCTAATTCTACACCGCACCTCCAAAACCACTTCTGATCACTCTCCTAAGTCACAAATCACCTCCCGAAGCTAACTGAACCATCAGAACTCACATCCAAACCCTCTAACATATAAGTCAACATCCGGTTGACTTTTCCAAAATAAGCCTTCCTTAAAGAGACTAAGTGTCTCATTTCCTATCAAAACCAATCCGATTTAACTCTAACACACCGAAGACTGATAACGAAACATGAAGAAGCATAAAATGGGAAAGACAAAGCGGTTCTCATGAGACGACGGGTTGGGTCGTCACACAAAATTAGGCCGAAAAAATTGGTTGCTCGAGCCCAAGTTTTATTCTTTCCCGTGAAAGAGATTAAAATATGATCTCATTTATTAATTAGTCCTACTTAAGTAAAATAGCTATTAGAATAAGACTGACCGTTAATACAAAACTATTTTTTTTGTATTTTCCAAGATTAAAAATGACTACAAAACATTAATGAAATTATTTTTTGTAATTTTCATTTTCTTGTAATAAAATAAAGTAAAAGAGTAAAAATGAGTTGAAATAGCTATATTAAGCCTATATTAAATATTTACGTGCTAAAAAATGAAAAATATTGGGGAGGGTCAAAAATCACATGTCTACAGTAATGACCGACAATAAGTTCTGCCCTCGAACGTTTCTGATCAATGGCCCTCGAATGACCATTCGAACTTGAGTTTGAGTGGCTCTTAGGTTCAACAGTCGATCAGGTATGGTAGCCCTTGGGCTTGATAGTTGAGTGAGTGCACGCTCAAACTTGAAATGAAAATAGCTCTTAGGCCTTATGGCCAAGTGAGGACATGCTCGAACTTGAGATGAGGTGACCCTTGGGCTATGAGAATTTTCTCGAACTCGAGTAGCCCTTGGGCTTAGTAGTCAAGTGAGTACTTGCTTGAACTCAAAATGAAAATAGCCTTTAAGCTTTATAGCCGAGTGAGGATTTGCTCGAACTCGAAGTAAAGTTAGCCCATAGGCTTTATGGATAGTCCCTGAGTGAGGGTTTGCTCGAACTCGGGTTAAGATAGACCTTGGGCTTTTATGATCGAGTGAGGACTTGCTCGAACTCGAAATTAGAGTTAGCCCCTAGGCTTCATAGATAGTCCCGGAGTGAGAATTTTCTCGAAGTCGGGTAGTCCTTGGGCTTAGTAGTCAAGTGAGTACTTGCTCGAACTCGAAATAGAGTTAGCCCTTAGGCTTTTTTTTATATTGGCCCTTAGGCTCTTTTACATCGGCCCTTAGGCTCTTTAAGTTAGGCCAATTCGGCCTCTAAGACGACTATAATTTTTTCCTCTTTTTGGCTAAAAGAATTAGTGAAAATTTCTTTATGCCTTAGCATGTATTTTTTGTACCTGTTGGTTTTTTCGAGGGTACAATCGATCAGAACCCGTTCGTGTTAATACCTCTTGAGGCTTTTTCTAAGGCTGATGTTATCGAAGCCTTTAAATTATTCGAAGGCTGATTTTATCGAAGCCCTTTTTGCTTTTGCCGAGGGTAGCCGAGTTTAACCAGTTTTTTGAAGTTTTTGAAGGCCTTTAATATATGGAGGAAGTCGGACGTCTCCAAGCCACATTATTTTGGCTGTAACCTTTTACATAATCGTAGTCTTTAATATGACCGTAGCCTTTAATATGGCTGTAGCCTTTAATATGGCCGTAGCATTTAATATGGTCGTAGCCTTTAATATGGATGTAGTCTTCGGGTATGTCTCTTGGACTTGTTTCCCGATAACTTTTCGAACTTATCTGAAAGGTTAGTCCCCAAGTATGTTGGCCTTGGCCTTTGCGTCGAGGGATGCCTCTTTGAGATCTTATAAATTCGAGTTCAGATACTCGAATGTGTTGACTGTCGATGACAGTCCCCGAGTATTCGAGGTGTATTTGCGTTTTGTCCCTCGAGCCGTTTCTTGTGGAATCACAAGTATGATGTTCGTATAGTAGCAGGTTTCTTTGATACACAAAGTGTTTTGATATAGAAAGAATGTTTCTTTGGATAATTAATACATGTGTACATGTTTTGCCATTAGGGCTCAACTATTCTATATGGACACAGTTCATCCGACCGTTTGACCCATTACAAAGTTCTCCTATCGAGACCCGATATCCTGAAGTGATTTCCTTGCAACAAAGTAGACATTCGAGGGAAATGCCCTTCAATACTAGGCTTATTGTAGGGACCCTCGGATACCGTTGAATTGCTCTAAGTTAACACGACAATGGTTGCCTCGTTAAAAACCTTATTGGAAAAACCCATTTGAGACAAAAACCGGTCTAAGGGAAAAAGAGTGCAACGCGTGCTTAAGGTCTAAAGCTTCATGCCGATCCTTGTCGAAAACCTGCAAGTGTTAGTCGAAACATTAGAAAGGATTGGACTAGGTCGTACCTTTATTCGGATAAGTTGAAAAGAAGTTAGTAAGGTGCATAAGTTGAAGAAAATATATCACAACTCGAAAAAAATAACATGTAAAAGAGTATGCACCTTTTCATCTTGAATAATTAATTCGATTGAATTAGAATTTTCTAGTTTCTCGCGGTCTGAAATGTGCCACAATCTAACAACACAAACTTTCAAATTCCAACTCATTTTGGACATTGTTATTTCGCTGATATAGTTATAGTTTGGAGCCATACTTTGGCGAAGTTAGAGCTAAACCCTAAGCAATGTAGAGAAGCTAAACCTAAGTAAAAGTTGCTTAAATAAAGATTTGTAAGAAAAGACTATAGTACTAAATTAATTTATAAGGATTTTTGGCAGAAATTTGAACGTATGATCTTGGAAGATACAAAATTTATATTTAATTAATTCTTTCTTAAAAAAGAATACCTACCATAGCTAAATGATACCTATATTAATGTATATTGTTCGTAAATAAGGTCAGATACAAAGCTTGTATTAAATGTAGAATTATTATTTCAACTTAACATTAATGTGTATTGTACTTATTATTATATTAATTGATTCTTTCTCAAAAAGAATACCTACCATAATTGAATTAGACACAAATTTAATTAAAGATACTTACAAAATATTTTTGTGATTTGGACGTCCAACGGGTTCTTAAAAGTGAACATTTTTTTGTTTAAATTTTAAAATATTTGGTTTTGATTATTTTATGAACTTTTTTAGTCTATTTTCTTTAATATAATATAGATGTAAGATACAAAATATTTATTTAATTAAGTCTTTCTTAAAAAGAATTCCTACCATAACTAAATTATACTTTCATTAAATATTTTTCCATTTATAATCCAAATTTTAATTAAAGATACTTACAAAATATTTTTGTGATTTGGACGTCCAACAGGTTCTCGAAAGAGAACATTTTTTGTTTAAATTTTAAAATATTTGGCTTTGATTATTTTATGGAACTTTTTAGTCTATTTTCTTTAATATAAATTTTAAAATATTTGGCTTTAATTAAGTCTTTCTTAAAAAGAATTCCTACCATAACTAAATTATACTTCCATTAATTATGTTTCCATTTATGATTCAAATTTTTAATGTTGTCTTTAAATTGCCAAGTGGTTTCTTTTTAGCTTGTCACTTGACTTAACCACATGCTTCACTACTCTCCTTTTAATATAATATAAATATAGATAACTATTAATTAACTTTTAACCAAAATGTTTGGCAAAATAACAAAATTGATTAGAACCATTCTCACGGCAAATATAAACCCGAAAAGAAGACCTAGACCATATAAGGCGAAAGAGGTGGCTTTATGAAATTAAACGTCAACCCATAACCAAATTTGATAAATCAAAGGTGAGAACTAATTTGGCATTCATATTCTTATTTTCGCTAGTTTTTGTAGTCTTAATTGATTGAGATTTGCAAAAGATAAGTGATTGCGATTTCTGTGATTGTTCGATTAGGGTTTTGATTAGAAATTGGACTTGAAAGAAGGAAGCGGAAGACGAGAGTTTGACTCCAAGAAATAACAAGAAAAAGACACTCAACCAAGGTTTATTCCATCTCTTCGATCCCATTTCTCGCTGAAAATTGTCGCTGGTAGCTGTGAGAGAAACCAACGCTGTAAGTTTTTATTTTTTGTTTTTAATAAATTTGGGATAACCACATCGTTGGTTGTGTGTTTGAATGAAGATTTCAGTTTTAATGTTCCTTGTTACCCGATTCTTTGATTTTTTTTTTGTTTTTATATTTGGGGTAATTAGAGCGATACAGTCGGATTGAATGCATACACAAATTTTTTATTGGATGTTCATCTTTTGATTTACTTTCTAATATTGTTTGAATTGACATGCTTTTCTGGAGTTCACATGTGTTGGAAATCAGTAGGGTTTGCACCAGTAGTTTAAATTATGTTTGTAGAATTGCTCGATTACTGGCATAATTTCTTGATTACTATTAAGATCACATTTTAAAGTTTAATATTGCAAGATCGAATGGAATTGAATTTGAGGAGGTCCATCAGAACTCTACAGAACCCGACTTTATGAGACTTGGCCGTGTTGAGGTGTATTTATATATATCTTTAGGTTTTTTTATTGCATGCTGTGATTGTATCTTAAAACTAAGTGTCGAATTCCTTTTTGCTAGCTTTCTTTTGGGTTACTTGCATTTTTTGGTCTAGTTATGAAGTGATTTTTTTGGCTGGTATAGGATACTTATGTCTAAATAGCTACAGTTTTTGGTTACATATAGGTATTTTACGATTATAGAATAAAGTTGAGGAAGATAAGTAATTTGCTTTATTTATCTGAAAGGTCTAAACTTTTGTGTCTTGTTTGGTCTTTCAGTATAAATTAATTAATTCGCCCTTAATAAACCATTAAAAGCAGGAACTGTTGATTGATAAAATGTTAACGTACTATTTTCTTAGTGTTCTGATTAAGTTAAGTAAATGGTTAGCCATGACCTTCTTTGTTACTGCAGTGATTTTGCAGTTAGAATCTTTTTCATCTAATGAAATATTAATCTTTGTTGTAACTCTTTTTTCTTTTGTGATAGTATATAGTTAAATTTTTATTCTAAATATATCATACATGGTCAGATCAATCACCTTTTCTTTTCTTCTTCTTTTTTAGTCGAGTTTGATCACTTTTTTGAAAAAAACACAATTTAAAATCACTTTGTCGTTGTGATCTTTCTTTTATTCTTAGGGAAAATCGTGAATGCAGCTTCCATGTATGTATTAAATACTAGTTTCGTGTATGTTCTGATTATGTATTAGTTGTGAGAGATTAAACTGATTCAAGGTTAGGACCTTTGGAATATTTTTGAGTCAATTCTCTATTTAATCTTCTAACTATGGTGCCAAGAAGGATGTATAGTCACTTTAATTCCAACAAAAAGTAAACTTCAATGTCTTGCTTTTTTCTGTTTTTTGCTCTATTTTTTTGTTTAATTTGAATGTGCTCTCTCTTGTCCAACATTGCTATAACATGATCTTCAAGTACTTTATAATTTGAATATCAAAGAAAATTTTATAGATTCTTATTGTGGAAATCAAGTAAGTTTAAACAGCTGTTGAGTACTCCATTTTTAATTAAACTGTTGTTTGAGAATTTGTGTGAAATAAATTGCCATAAGAGTGCTTACCCTTACGATTGGATGTTGGTAAGGCAAAGGCCTTAATGATTAAAATAGACTAAATCATTGCCAAATTTTATATAAGAACTCCTTTTGGGTTAATGAAAAACAAAAGATGAAATGATTCGTATAGCACCAACTAAAATGTAAATTTCTAACGGATTTTCTTTACCCTTCATTGCACTTTGATCTTTTATGAATAATTCTGTTGAAATAGGATTAAGACGAGCATAAATGGAACAATATGAATACTTAAAAATTCTTTAGTTAACTTCATTTTGTTGTGATTCTCACTTTCTTGCTTCTTGCTTAAGTTGTTGTTTCTAACTTCTTGGACCATATGCCTGATTTATATATTTTTTTCGATGAAAAATATTGAGATAATTTAATTAATCAAGGATGGCGATGGGGTTTATTCTCTGTCCTAGGATGCATCACATGCAGTACATGAACAATCTGAGGATTCTATCAATCATGAAGCAATTGAAAAATATGAGGAAGAAGGCAAGTATATATAAATTTTAATCATAAAATTAACTAACAATAGTAGTTGATGATTATCTTTGCTTTGTACTATTGCAGGCCCCTCCGTGCCAAAAAGAAAAAGAGGTCGTATTCAAATGTCAAGTGTACATGGAAGAAAGGAGAATGATGAACTTCAAATGGAGAATAGGCCGGTAGATGTTCCAGAGTCTCACTTTAAGGATCTTGAATATTGGAACTTCGATCACCACAAGGTAAATTACATCCATTCTTTCTAGGACCTATTATCTACTTGTTTCTTGTTTTACTTTATGTGAAGGATTGGTTGTAAAAGGGAAATATTAAGGTTTTAATTTCTTTCAATTGACTTCTAAATGTATTTTCTTGTTCTGTGTTTCACTTCTATAGCTGTCTGCATAGCTTTTGTATATTATTGTATTGGTGGTTATCATAAGTTTGTCAAAATATACTTGGACTTTGCAATATTGGACTTTGTATGTTCTAGTTTTTGGTACAGTATTTATTGAGTTTACAATAGGAAAGGATAAATCTGGTGCTTTTTCCAATTATCAAAGGCAGTGGAGGGGTTGCTATTAACATCCTATTCTTGCTTTTGGTATGGATGGAACATGTAAAATGAGGATGAAATTGTTCTTCAGGTTAGGATTATTACAGAATTAGTTTTTTGGGGCTTATCCTTATACTTTTTCTGCCTCTGTTAATTATTTAAAGTTACAACAACACATTCTTAGTTCTAGATTTATAACATTACCTTACCTTTTCAAAAGAAAAGTTCAGTATGAAGAGTAAATGTTGCAGGTACTTTAACATTGTCAATGTATTGAATTAGTATGGTAAGTTGATTGCACTACTTATTATTCACTTTTGGTTACTATTTGGTTGACTCATTTATAGAAAAAGTTATTATAATTGTTATTCCTGCCTCTATAGTTTTCTAAACTCTAACCTATGTTGTGATATGAAATCAATAATTAGCTAGTGGTCACAAAACCAAATTTGTGCAAACTGACTACTTTTCCTTTTAAATCCTATAACGGGATTAATTTGATATGTTATTCTTTTTTAGTAGCTTGCATGCACATTTAATGTCCAAATTTGGGTCTAGATAATGTGTTTTTGTAGAAGAGCTAGGCGCATGACTAGCATCTTGTACGTCCATTCTTTTCTTTTTCTTTTTTGATCAATTTATTTAGTCCAGGTATTCAAGGTGAAGGGTAATGACTTTATTTATCCTCTTTTGTAGGTGGAGTAGATCAAGAAATAAAAGATGAAGGCAGTGAAGATCTAGACCTTACTTAAGATGAATTTTTAATTGCTATAATTGAATGTTCTAGGAATCTTTTGTTGTCAATATTTTGAAACTTACCATCTTGAAATGTATTAAACTTATGCACTTAGGGTAGAACATTTGCTTTTACGGATATTATTAGCTTGTTGGACGAGTTATATTATTAATAGTTTCATTTTGTGATTTATTTAAATTTTAGTGTTATTATAATTTATTATATATATATAAATTTATTTACAACAGGGGCTATCTTTTTGTTTAATTGAACTGTTACAATAGCCTACCAGAACCGTTGCAATAGGATACAAATGACGTTTCATTAGAATGTAAACCGTTGCAATAGATTCGGCAAACCGTTCCAAAATGTCCTCTAAACCATTCCAATAGGTAGTTAAAACCGTAGCAATACAAAAAAACCCGTTACAATAGCTTAAAGAGACTGTTGTTATATCCATACATAACCGTAACAATAGCTTACATAAGTGTTGCATTAGATAATATGGTAACGGTTATGAGTCGCTGCATACACATTATAGCAACGGTTTTAAACCGTTCCAATTGGAAGGAATAATCGTTCCAATAGAGAAAGGGACAACCGTTGCGATAGACATGTCTATAGCAATGGAGATGAAAACCGTTGCACGACCCGTTCCTATAGCTCTATTGACATGCAGGCAGATGGGACGGTTAGGAAACCGTTAATATTGCTATGGCAACGGTTTATCTACCTAGTGGAACGGTTTTCCATGCGTTACCATAGGCCAATTTTTCAGTAGTGACTACATAAGTCACATAATTGTCCTTTAATCATCTTTGGTTCTCATTGTTGTGTTCGTTTCAGCTATGAACACCATATGGTTTATAAGTGCATAGAGAATTAGCGTTGTAGTATTCTCCTTGAAGCGGCTAACACTTCACGCTTACATAGGTGAATTCTAAACATGTAATCACGTAGATACACCAATGGATAATCTCATGTCAAACCTAGAAACCATTAAAAAGCTTTAACGATTTATCCCTGTTACTGAATATTCTCTCATCATGAGAATGGACTAAATTTTTGTTTGACAATATTGAACCGTTATACATAACTTTGTTTGATCTTATTGAACATAGATCTTAGAATCTCCAGTTTTCTAGGTAGAGTTACCACCATGATGACTTGTCCTTGGCAATAATCACCCCTCGATGATCTCTCAGTCGCTATCCGGTTAAGCCTTATATATTTACCTTTGATTTTTCATAATCAATTGTGATAATTCCGCTAGCGAGTAGTTGTCTAATAGAATTATGCCTAGAAGTGAAGGCCAGCCAGCTAGAGGTCGTCCCAAAGACGTAGGTCAGAGTGGTGGGGCTCAACCCCTTCCCAGCTAGGCTTGAGGTAGAGTCATCTGATGCTGTTATCACAGGTATTGTTCTAGTTTGCCATAGAGATGCTTCAGTTCTATTTAATCCGGGTTGTACTTACTCCTACGTGTCATCCTAGTTTGCTTCATAACTGGTTGTGCCTTGTGATTTTTTGAGTACTCCTGTGTATGTGTCCACGTATATGGGAGATTTTATTATTGTAGATCGTGTTTATCGCTTGTGTGTGATTACTATTGGGAGTCTTGAGACTAGTGTAGATCTTCTACTTCTTGATATGGTAGATTTTTATGTTATCTTAGGCATAGATTGACTATCACTGTGACNTTTAAGAAGGTTTAATTGGAAAAGTCAACTGGACGTTGACTTATAAGTTAGAGGGATCGGATGTGAATTTCGATGGTTCGGTTAGTTCCGGGAGGTGATTTGTGACTTAGGAGCAGGACCGGAAGTAATTTTGGAGGTCCGGTGTTGAATTAGGCTTGAATTGGCGAAGTTAGTATTTTGAATAATTCCGGTTGATAGGTGAGATTTTGATCCGGGTATCAGAATGAAATTCCGAGAGTTGCTGTATTGCTTCATTGTGTCATTTGGGATATGTGTGCAAAATTTCAAGTCATTCGGACATCGTTTGGTCGGGTTTTTGATCGAATGTGTGTTTTAGAAGTTTTAAAAGAACTTAGGCTTGAATTCGATATAATTTGATGATTTTAGCATTAGTTGAGGTGTTTTGACGATTGGAGCAAGTTTGGATAATGTTTTAAGACATGTTGGTGCATTTAGTTGAGGTCTCGGGGGCCTCGGGTGTATTTCGGAAGGTTAACGGATCGATTTAGGCACGAAAAGAATAAAGCTGCTACATTTTTTACAGCACTGTGAATAGTAGTTATGAACATTGCCCCGTAACAGTATCCGTGAATAGTGCTGTGAACAGTACCCCCATAACAGTATCCGTGAACAGTACTCCATGAACAGTAACACGAGTGAACAGTACACGGGGTGAACAGTAATTCCGAAAAATTCTGGGCAGAATGTTTACATTTCATTTGCGAAAAACACCCCATTTCTCCACCATTTTTAGTCATTTTGAGAGCTTTTGGACGGGGATTGAAGGGAGTTTCAACTAAGATCGATTGGAGGTAAGTTTTATGAGTTAAATACATGATTTTATTGAAGAATCATCCTAGAAATCCATGAAAACATAGCCAAATTATAAGAAATTAGGGCTTGAGATTGAAATTCTAAATTTGGGATTT